ACCATCAAGTGACCAAGGCAACCCGCCAAAGCAACTTGATATTTGTTTGTCCACAGATATTAAAGGGTTTGAAGTAGGCCTGCAAAAGCACAGGATACCGTGAGACAAAAGAGAAGAAATAAAAGGGAAGCAGGAGAAACAAAAAAGCAATGGGCAAACCAAATGACATCATACATAATTAACACAACACTGAAAATAATATTAAAAATATATATCCAAATTCTTAACACAAGATGAAATTACTTGACAAGCAAATTATGACAGATAACTTGTTTTCAGAGCGTGCATAATATTAGTATTATAAACTGATTAAAATGGTGAGCACAGAAAAGAGTAAGTAATGTTGAACCATGTGAAGCATGCACACAAAAATTTGCATTAGTCTGTGTCAGAAAGCATCAAGACTTAATGCAGCTATTTGTTAATTGAATTCAATGTCATAAACAAGTATCTCTATCTTCGTAGAATCAATGAAAGATCTATTTCCAAACAGTGCTTATAATGATCCTCTATATGACTGATTTAGACGCCCAAACCCTTTGACAGAAACTAAACCTGTGGTAATGAAGACAAAGCTTCCTCCTTTAACATTTGCCTCCAGCATAGCTGATGAACAGCTTATTGTTTTCTTATAAACATCCCATGCATCTTTTATTGTCAACGATTTAAGCTTTTCTCCTGTGAGGCGTATTTGTTACCCCCAGAAAGGTGACGGATTTAAGATTCAAGATTGCACTATTTGGTGCATAACTAAATGGAAAATACAGAAATGATTTGCATTTGAACCAGAGTTCAACACTTCACAAATAGGCATTCAGGAGTTTATAATCATTACTGGTATTTTCTAAAAGTCATCCCTCATGCAAAAATGTCAGCTGTCAACATTTTTTATGTTAATTTCAACCTAAAACTAAACAGATAAAACATTTTGAACATAAAGTGGTCAAATGACTGTTAATGGCCTTCATTTCCATAAAATCTAGACTGAATCATTGGGAAAAATAAGGTTTCTTACATTACAAGCTAGAAAAAAGAAGACAATTAAAAACAATTGATGTATGGCACTGCAACTATACAGCAGTTTAAACTTTACCGGCATACTGGTTTAATAAGTTAAACAATTTAAATGAAGGATTCAAGGTTCATTAACATCAAAATGGAATGACCAACTTGAACAGTTCATCCAAAAATTCTGTCATAATTTACTCAAATTACAGTCATACAGGTTTGAAATGGCATAAGGACATGGCAAAAGATGAGTGTCTACTTTCATCATAGGCTCACTGGAAAAACGTACCTTACCTACAAAAGTCCAAACACATTCACTGCAGGTTCCAGCTGAAATTAACACTATAGAAGTAAAATTGCAACTACTTTCATTCCTGGGGCCATTGTACTTTGAGAAATACATCTATACAAAGATTTGATCTTTTTCTAGTAATCAGTTTCATAAAATGTAATATTTTACTGCAGATTTGAAAAGACCAAAATAAGATTGTTAAAGAACCTTTCCCCCATTTTAATGCATTCCTGTGTTTCTAGAGGGGTTGGATGCTATAAGAATACAAAAACAGCACAGGGATCAGGCCAAAAACTGAAGCTGATGCAGCTCTTTTCAGAGAAGTGATGACCTCACTCACCACAGCATTCAAGTCATGTTTGGCCTAAATGAAAGTAATCTGGTTTATATATGACACTCCAAATCAAATTTAAAGCAAACTGAACTAAGTCCATCTCAATTTTCTGCAATAAACACTAGAGGCAGTAAAACAACTTTCATTCCTTTTCACACAAATTATGATTGCTCAGGCAATATTTCTCAGGCACATTTTCCAGCGTGCCTGGGTTGATTACTTTAACTGTGTGCACCAAAGGCAAAACAAAAGACTTTAAATTATCTTCTATCTTCTAATTATCTTAAGTCATACAGGAACGACATGAGTGTAAGCAAATTATTTTTTAGTGAATTATCTCTTAAGTATTATATTATAATATTATATAATTTAATAATAATAATTTATGCATTTAGCAGATGCTTTTATCCAAAGCGACTTACAGTGCATTCAGGCTATACATTTTTTACAAGTATGTGTGTTCCCTGGGAATTGAACCTACAACCTTTTGCGCTGCTAACACAATGCTCTACCACTGAGCCACAGGAACATATTATATAATAATAGTAAAATATTATATAAAATAATGTAAATTATATATGGCTAGAAGTATTGACTAGAAGTAACATTTCCCCCTACAGAGATTCCAATTCTGGCATGTTCCACACATTGATATGCTCAATCCAGTCACCACTGTCTGCTTTCATCGTCCTCTCCTCCACCTCTATTTATAAAACCCTGCACATTTTTCATCCCTTTCCCTAATAATTTTTCAGCACACCCTTGTCAATTATTCACATGCTCTTCTACATACTGAACATGTTTCTCTTTCTAAGCATTAATATTTAAGGTTTCAACCCTCCTCTAGGTGATCTTAAAAAGATAAAACATAACTAACAGAAGTACAAAAGGGAAAACACAAAATTACCGGCCACTCAATTCACCATAGCCAATCTTGTAGAATAATATTCTATGAAAACAAAATGGCCTCTTTGCCTGGAAAGTTTTCAAAGAAAGATCTGTTTCTAGCTATAATATCAAATATGGTTAACAGTAATGGGTTTTTAGTCGAGCCACAGCTGTGAGCTCTCAAATGCATTTGGATCACAAATGGTTTAGTTATCTTTTTCTCTGTGCTATTGATAAAGGTAGGCAATTGTTGCTTGGAGACATAAAGGATTAAGATATCCTCTGGCAGACAATTGCAATGGTAATGAATTATTGTACAACCAAAGTATACGATAAGGACTTGTTCAAAGCCTTACGACACCTCATGAAATCCATTGGTTCTTTTTTATTACTGCGAGTTGAGGTAGGTCTACATTACTATAAACAGAGACTCTTTGTGCTTGTAAAAACGGGTCAACAGTAAGGATTTTTTAACCAACATTTTTATATTTGCAAGAAAAATTCTATTTCTCCATGAATTATTATTTGCTTTTGACATTTTTTGTTATTTAGAAAAAATATATATTCCAGCTTTTTCACAAAATATAATTATGCAAACAATTTATAATACTGCACAACTGCTTCAATTTATAAAAGTTGCAAAAGTGTTTCAATGCAGTTTTCTTTCTGACTGATGCTTCTTCTAAGACTATCACTTCTTACAATTTTGACAAAACCTATCTATGTTGTTTCCCATTGTCACCCATGTTGTTTGTGGGCCACCCTTGTTGAGCCCTGAAAATGGACACTAATTGTGACAAAATTATGCTTTCCTAATTTGAAAACACATAAAAAATCTGGTAACAATTTTATTGCAAAATTTTAATTTTAAACTTCTTGTAAAACCAAGAAATGAAAATACAGAGCAGGTTTCCAAAATCATTACAAGGTAAGTTTCCTAAAGACTAACAGTAAATTTAACAGTAGCAGCTTCCATTAATGAAGGTAATTTAATCTGGATTAAACAAGTGTGATGTAATCTCATAGATTGGTGAGGCATGACAACCTCTTACTACCCGACACTATGATCCAACATTACCATCTGAATTCAAAGAAAGGGCTCTTCAAAATATTACAATATTCACAGCGCTAGAACAGAAACCCTACTACAAAGAGTTACTGTAATCCTTATGACAAGTATTCAGACATAACGCTAAACTTCCTAAATGTCACTGTGGACAGGCTGTCCACTGTATGCAAATTAATGTGATCATTAAATTGTGAACACATCTCTATCCAGACATTCTGAGTAAAGGATTACAGTAAAGGCACTATAATCCCACAGCAGAATCACATATGGACAGCATACCTTGGCGTCAGGTAATACTATGAGCAGGTGCGAGCTATCAGGCATGATGACGCATTAATCAATTTATGCGTGCACAGACAATTAAAATGCCATTGATGTTACACTGGGATGTACCATTAGCACATGCAATACCATTTTCTTATTTACAGAGGCTCCTGTAGTTTTTAAATGAACAGCAAAATGTGTAGTATCTGTCAATTACATAAATCTATGCAAAGTATGACACCATTATTAGACACATCTTCTGATGTTCACTAACTGACATCCTGATACATAAGCTTTTTCATGTGTTGCAGTCAGTGAGAAAAATACAAAATAAGAAAAAGTAAAGCTGTTTTACACTATTACACCTATGAAATTCTCTTTATATTTATTGATTCACTCTATCAATTTATGCGTGCACAGACAATTAAAATGCCATTGATGTTACACTGGGATGTACCATTAGCACATGCAATACCATTTTCTTATTTACAGAGGCTCCTGTAGTTTTTAAATGAACAGCAAAATGTGTAGTATCTGTCAATTACATAAATCTATGCAAAGTATGACACCATTATTAGAAACATCTTCTGATGTTCACTAACTGACATCCTGATACATAAGCTTTTTCATGTGTTGCAGACAGTGAGAAAAATACAAAATAAGAAAAAGTAAAGCTGTTTTACACTATTACACCTATGAAATTCTCTTTATATTTATCGATTCACTCTATCATATTTTGAAACACAGGGAGTGGTCAGAGTCACTGTTTGTCATTAGTGCATCTGCCGCTCCCTAGCGACATGATAGATGGGACTGCACACAGCCACGAGTCCGTCATGTTTCGCATCTGGAATGTCATTAACACAGTATACACATGCTAAGAGTACCATGCAAAACTGCAATCAACAACAACAAAAAAAAACCCTGATCACCAACAGTCCCCATCAGAAGCAGCACTGCACATCTCTTGCCAAAGCAAAATGTCATTAACACAGTATACACATGCTAAGAGTACCATGCAAAACTGCAATCAACAACAACAACAAAAAAACCCTGATCACCAACAGTCCCCATCAGAAGCAGCACTGCACATCTCTTGCCAAAGCAAAAACCATCAAGAAACGATCAGAAAGTATCAAACTTACGTGTCTTGCGGCTGACGTGGGTTTGACCAGGCTTGGTCACGTGCCTCTCAGTGGATGACTGCTCTCTGGTCCACATTTGGGTGGAGTCGTTTAGAACGGCAGGGTTGGAGGGAGAGGGGCTGGAGGTGGACGTATGGACAGTAGACGTTGTGGTAGAGGCCACGGTGGTCGTAAAGGTGGGATTACGTGTGACAAAGCGTGTAGAAGGGCTCTTCTGCGTCACCTGGCTTCCGGATGCACCACCACCCCTAGGGGGAACGTTCGGAGGAGTTCCCGTTCGAGTCCTGCTCCGCACCACAGTGGTGACGGTGGGGCTGGCCGAGCTGACCCCTCCAATAGTGGTTGTGGTGGTGGTGGTGTCAGATCCCTTAGGAAAAGTGCTAGGCTTGGACAGAAAGATGGGGTCCTGGCCAATTCCCTTGGCATCCACCAAGTCAGTAGGCACGTAGTCCCGCACAGAACCCACTACGATCCATTTCAGCAGCATCAGACTGAGCCCTAGGCCTATGAAGCCAATGAGAAGCGGAACCACGCAGAGCCAAGTCTGTTGGCGGGGCCAAAGGGCACAGCTCCCACACCTTAAAATGCCACCACGAGCAGGGGCCTGGGCTTGTTCACGTCCACCGGAGCCACCTCTTCCATCGGGCTCCTCCAGTACCATAGCCCCCGAGTTGTTCACTGTTCCAGAGCTGTCACTCATCTCGCCTGTGGCACGGTAAGGGTTAACCCCACGGCCGGGCACTCGGCAGACATGGACAGCACAAGGCGAAACGCTGGCCAGCAAAGCCAGACATTGGAAAAAAAAATGGGAAAGTAAATCACAACCTCAAGAACATAGAAATAGTTATGAACACATCAAGGCAGACAAATCACATCCACGCACAACTAATACACATACACACACTCACAAACAGACAAGCGCATACACCCAATAGAATTCCGGAGGTAGAAATCTCAGCGGTTGCAGAATCCGGTAAAAAGGACAGTCCTTTAGTCCAGTTCCACCAATACGTCCAGATGACTTCCAGCTCGTCGTAAGATCACTAAAATGGTACAAATGTTAAATAAAGGTGCTGAGCAAAGAAGGTGGAAGGAAAGGGAGGAGTGCAATCATCTGCATGTTGACTCCAAGCACCAGCCGTTGCAGCAGCACTCTCTGTCGTCAGATTATCAAATCCATCTTTTTGCAGATGACACCACCGTTAGATTTATCCTCCGACCTCGTTCCTCCATTCATTGCAATATTTGAAGGTTGAGTTCAGTAAAAGTTAAAAACTGGCTCATATTTTTTCTCTCTGGCTCCCTCGTTCTTACCAATTCATTTTCAAGGTCTTGATCTGACTCACAGTCTTGTATTCGAGCGCTGAGTCAGCTATACATATTATTCCCTCACGAAGGAGGACTCGGCGTTGACCGTAAAGCAATATGTCCCTTTTTCCTCGACCAAAGCTCCTGCTGATTTACAGCATTCTTAAGGGAGCAAGGGACCTGCAGCACGGATCCCGGTATGTGCAAGCTGAGCAATAAACCCAGCAGAGGAGGCAATGGCAGGTGCAGAGTTGTCCAGGAAGAGACGGTGGATGGACAAATCCGTTAGCAGTACAAATCCATTCTGAACAGCATCTGATGAGCGACCCACCACCGTAGAGCGAGCCGTTGATATCGTGCAGAGCAGCGGGTGTACGCTCAGCCTCTATCTACATTCCTCCACTGAGAGAGCGCAAGAGAGAATGAGAGAGAGAGAGGAAGGGAGAGGACCGGAGCGGAGGGATGGAGGGGAAGGAGGGAGGGAGGGAGGAGTGAGCTTGTCAAAGACGGAGAGAAAGAGAAAATGAGGAAGGTTAAAAAAAAGAGAGACAGCGTGCAGGTTTTCCATGAGACAACATTCATCCATTCCTCATTACTGTTGTGTTTGTTTTGCCTGTCTGTTGCTCTATCCTAGGGCTGCCATTTCTAAAGCGTCCGGACTAGCGTGTGTTCCCGCTCTAATCTCCTGTGGGATTTTACCGCTGCTCAAGCCTACGACACTGCAGCCAGACACATACACAGACAGCCTTCTACTCTCCCCACTGCTGATGCCAGGAAAGAGAGAGACAGACAGAGAAAAAGAGAGAGGGGAGGCACTGCACCTGCTCTCTTCACAAGAACATTCCCCACCCCTTTAGAGAGAGAAAGAGAGAGAGGGAGGGAGGGAGGGAGGGAGAAACAAGGAGAGATAAGTACAAGTTGAGAAAGCATTCACAGCAGGATGAGATAGAAAACAAAAGAAGCAGAGGGCAAGAGAGAGAAAGACAAGATACGGGAAAGAAATAAAGAGATCCGTGTCAGTGCTCTGTGGTATTAGCAGAAAAAGAGATTACTGACTGCTGTAAACAGTCTCAGCATCTCTCTTTCAGGACTGTCAATCATGCAACCAGTCCCTCCTCACGTCTAAGACTCTAAGAAGGGAAGGAAACTTAATGGATGGCACAAATTAGAAGTCGTGTGCAGTGTCTAATGGGTGGTATTTTTAAATAGACTGTTGTGCAACACAAAAGGGTTGTAATTAAAGGGAGTGGATAACACTTTAATACTCAAAGACAACAGAGATGCTAGTTTGTTTCCTGTTGGTTCTAACTTGTTTTAAAGGTGTACTCAATAATTTCTTGTTTATGTTGTGCTGGATGATATGGCAGCCCACTTGGATTAATACTGACACCTAGAGGCACAGATGTTTCACAGATGAGGCACCGATGCCACTGTACAAACAAGCCATTTCCCATGAGCCACGCTTAATTCCACAACTGAAAGTCTCAATTAACAGGCAGGTTACTGAAATTGGTCAACAACAACTTGAGTGAGAAGCAATTTCATTTCCAAGATGGTACTCCCAGAACATAGGAAAAAAATTATATTAAATTTGTTATTATTATTATTGTTATTATTATTATAAAGATTTTATAAATAAAATATATGGCAATTTTGACAGCGTATTTCAAAGCCTATTTCTAAGGCGTCATGAAATATAATTTATAATTAGAAACTAACATATGTCATCTTGGATTCTTTTTCAGCAAAAAAAAAAAAAAAAAGATTTATATTTAAAGTTT